ATGACATCATCACGCTGCGTCCATTCATCAGCAACATGTCCACATTTGTTTACACCGGCATGCGCCGAAACTCACCCAGGTGGTCGGAGTTAGAGTGCGGTAAATCAGCGCACATTCTCCAGTTGATCCATTTCTTTTTAATACGTCCATGGTTGACTGGTGACAACCGGAGAGCCAAGAATGTCGAAAATTTGGAAGCCTAAGTGTCTTTGATACATCTTTTTAACCAAATGCACCTATAGGCGGGCAATGAATCGAATGTCTCCAACTGGAGTATGCCGGTGTACATAACGAGTACACCCATTGTGGGTTTTAGCGGCTACCTACATTAGCCGATGCTTTGCTACCGTTAAAGCTAGCTGTTAGGTTTGTATGAAATACTTTTATGTGTCACCGACCGAGTGTGTTTATTAATTCACAAGGGAAGAAATGAACAGTCGTCTTCAAGAGATCCGTGAGAGACAAAAACTGAGGCGGCAGCTGTTAGCTCAACAGGCAAGTAAACAGTGAGCGCCCAGTTGTTAGCATGTAGCTATCTATCAACTTAACCAGTCTGCGCGTATAGTTCCAATAAAAACCTGTAGAGCTGCAAGATACGTCAATGTTTATGATGTGCTTTCCCGAGATAAATAGTTGTGTAGTATAGACACAGCTGTGGATGCACACTTAGCTTTCAGACCTCCATCAAATTCTTCCTCTGGTCGCCCTCGAGTGGACTCCTGTAGAAATAGTTTTGCTGCAAATGTAAATGAAAGCATCAACATGTTGAAGATATCTAAGCCATTGCAGCTGACCATAGCAAATTAATTGTAGTAAAAAAAAATAAATGGAACCACGTAACAGCAGTATAAAACACCGATAGGCAATGCATAAAGATACACTAGATGAATTTAGGAAAGTTTTGTTTCCCATTACATGATTAATTTACTTTGAAAGTATCTGACTCTACCATTTTATTTCTTGTCTAACTACAGTTGGGAGCTGAAAGTGCAGACAGTATTGGAGCTGTCCTCAACAGTAAAGATGAACTCAAAGAGATAGAGGAGACGCGAGAAACATGCAGGTAAGATGTAATTCAGTCCCTAGAAACAGAATCCAGGGTAGACAGGTTTGTATTAACAGAAAGAAGCAAGGCAGGGTGCAGGGGAAAGCAGGAGAGTAAAACCTGAACACAGAAAGTCACTGATGCTCGGGGAGGCTCTTTCTGTTATTTCATTGCATTCAAAATTTCCCCCGCTTTTATCTTTAAAATGCTTCTGCAAACATTAGTCTTTTTGCAGGGCCATGGTATCTCCTCATTGTCTGTGCCGATGGTTAATTTTGTGCTTTAGTAAGACCGCAATTGTAAAAATGAGTTTAAGATGTTTGCATTTTGCAGGGCTTCATATGATAGCTCAGCCGCCCCTTCCAAAAGAAAGGCACAGACAGAGGGAGAGGACACAGAGGAAGACGTGGAAGAACAAAAGGTGAGTGTAATCAACAATTTCCCTGAGGTTTACACCGAAGGGATCAATAAAGTTTTATTCTATTCTATTCTATTTATTCTAATCACATATGTGTGAGATTTATGAATCTAAAGCAGTTAAAAAAAAGCTTTTCCCTTAACAAACAAAGACAAACCTGATTTTAGGAGCACTTTTTTAGGCAAATGTTACAAATTGATTTGCAGCAAGTCAACACACAACTTAAAAAAAAAGGAAAAGTTGTTGATGAAGGAGTGTTTTAGAAGTTGACACTCACTGAACAACCGTTCTAAGGAGGCAGTTCCACAGCCTCAGGGAATGGAAGTGAACAATAGTGTGTTCTGGACAAGGAATTTGGCAATTAGCCGCCACTTAAGTAGTCCTAAAGCTATGTATTGTTCCTAATTATTAGTTTCTAAGATTGGACAGAGGACAATTTAAATACCTGCACATTGTTTGGCTAATGTCTTCTCTGCAAGTCATTGTTTTTAGCTATGCTGCGTTGGGCCATTTAAGGGACACTATAAAATGCAAATTACTGAAGAATCAGGTGGAAATATTAGACCATTTCATTTTAATAGATATTTAACTAACTTTTCAGAGATTACCCCTTTGAACTGCAGTGACCGGTACGATAAATTGTATTAAATATTTGAGCATGGTGTCAAATGGATTAATTTAGATGTGTCAATTTAAGTATTCGGTCATATTAGGAAGTATGAGGTTCACTTATAGGTGACTTTAGCATGAATATGTCGAGGGAAAATGCTAATGCCCCCGGTTTCCCAGGTGACTGATTTACTATGCTGTATGTATTTATTTGTTTGTTAACCTAACATTTAAGTTCGTTAGTTAGTATGTGTTGTAACTTTATCATGATTGTAACTCCACTCATATTTATTTATGATCAAATAACATTACACTGTATTCATCTACTGACCAATGACCGAAAATAAAAATCTCATTGTGCTTTCTTGTATATTAGGATGAGGTGGAAGTGCAGCAGCCAGATGAAAGCAACCCATATGAGGAGGTGTACAAGGACTCAAGTACTTTCCTTAAGGTTGGCAAACTCTGTTTTTTTTGCACACACGCAACCTCACTTTCATTGTTTCTGTCAGTAATTAGGTTTCTGTAGCTTGACAAGCATTGTTTTTTGAGATGTGAGATGTGTTTCTATTGCTTCATTAAGGGAGACTGGTTTCCTGAAAATAAAGACTGAAACCAAACATTTTAAAACATTGGACAAGTGACTATTGTTTTTGAAATGCAAGTTGTTTGCTATGTCCTGACTAAATATCTACAGGAGGATAGCAGGAAGAGGAACATGATAATCATACAATGCCACATCAGAAGTCACATCAATATCTGTCAACACATCCTGGTTATACAATCACTATTACCTGTATCGGCCAAAGCAATTACTTTCGGTGAACATGTTCTTGTATTAAATTACAAGCCACTGAATTTTAGATGACTTTGACGCAAGATGCTAATTACGGTGAAATCTAGATTCACCATTTCTAAAATGTTCCAAATGTACTTGGTGGTCAGATGATGTAGTGCAGTGTGACATTTGGCTTACTTAAAAGACTAAAAACAGCCCAAGCCGTCAGATAAATATCTTGCTTTGTCATTGTCAGATTTTAAGCGATAAACAGCCCATTATAACTCAGACCAGTGAGCCATGAGATGAACAAGGCGTGAAACTGGATGGACAAGTTTTGTTTGGCAGGTGGACTCTATACCTTTGAATGCCTAAGCATAATTAGTAGGATGTTGACATGATTCACTTGGCATCAACCTATAATGTCACACAGTATTAAGTTTCACTGCAATTGTAACTAGTCATGCATCAACAATTGGAGGAGAGACTTCTTGCACTAATATAGGTTGGCAATGGGGTTAGGTGAAATAAGTGATTCATAAAACAATCAAGGGCTGCAAGGTGGAGCTGTGGTCAGTACCGTTCACCGGTTCGCGTCCCGGTGGGGGCACCGGAATCTTTCTGCGTGGAGTTTGCATGTTCTCCCCGTGCAGTGTGGGTTCTCTCCGGGTTCTCCGGCTTCCTCCCACACAGTCCAAAAACATGTTGAAGTTAATTGGTGATTCTAAATTGTCCATAGGCATGAATGTGAGTGTGCTTGGTTGTCTGTCTCTAAGTGTAGGCCTGTGATAGACTGGTGACCTGTCCAGGGTGTCCCCTGCCTTCGCCTTGAGTCAGCTGGGATAGGCTCCAGCTCCTCCGCGACCCTAGTGAGGATTAAGCGGTGTATAGATAATGTATGGATGGATGAAAGAATCAAAGTTTGTATCATTTACAATTCTGAATAAATCCAGAAATGCCAGGAATTATTTTTTGTATATGTTCTCAGCCACATGGACATAATGAAGCACCGGCATGATGTGCAGGTTTCACATACTAAAGTTACCTTATACTTAATTTGAACAGAATTCAAACTTTTGAGCCAGTTTTAGATTTATGTCTCAATATTCAGCTTTGCAAGATGAAGATGAATTGTCTTTTGAATATTTTGTAGTTTACCAATTCACTGCAGACATCAACCAGCTCAGTGGAGCGAAAAAAAAACTCTCCCTTTCTTTAATTGGTTCAGTCACAAATGACCTGCACTCATGTGGCAATTGTCTAACAATACATTTCACCCCTGCTGCAGACATGAGGTTAAACAGTAACAATACAGCAGAGCACATAGCCCAAACAGAAAGTGTCCCTGTATCTGTTTGTTTATTCAAGAATTGTTTTGACTCAGAATAAGCAAACAGAATCGAATAATATTATAAGACTGCCAAATATTTCCACCTCCAAATTACATTTCACGTGATCTGTTTTTATAAATAGTCTGTCGAGAATGCATTATGTCAGTCAAAGATCAAATCAGGGATCATTCATGCTGTGATAAATAGGAATCAGCTTTGCAAAGTTAGAGTAATGTCGAAAGGATTACGACTGTTGATGTCATCTTGGTGACAAAAGACAAATGACTTTTTCTGTCATGTGGTTCTGAAAATGTTTTCTCAGTTGTACACATCAAATTATTAATAAAAAAGTATATCTGCATAAAAACATAAATTTTTTATGCAGATATATTTTTCTAATTACCGTAATTACTTCCTGCTTCTACTCTGTCCCTCTTATTGTCCATCCATCCATTATCTATGCACCGTTTAATCCTCACTAGGGTCACAGGGGGGCTGGAGTCTATCCCACCCTGGACAGGTCACCAGTCTATCGCCGGGCTACACTTAGAGACAGACAATCAATCACACTCACATTCACAGCTACGGACAATTAGAATCACCAATTAACCTCCACGTGTTTTTGGACCTTGTGGGACCCGGAGAGAACCCATGTTGCATGGGGAGAACATGCACACTCCACGCAGAAGGATCCCGGTGCCCCCACCGGGACGCGAACCGGCCTTCTTGCTGCGAGGCAACAGTGCTACCAACTGCCCCACCTTGCAGCCCTCCCTCTTATTGTCTCTTATTTAATTTATTTGCAGGGTACCCAGAGTTTAAACCCTCACAATGACTACTGTCAGCACTTTGTGGACACGGGACACAGGCCACAAAACTTCATCAGAGATGTTGGTGAGTGTACTCTTGTTTGCATGAGTGCTTATATACAGGAGTGCTTATGTACATGTGTGCTTGTGTGTGGATTTGACTTCTGTCTTCTCTGGTTAAGGCTTGGCTGACCGATTTGAAGAATACCCTAAACTCCGAGAGCTGATCAGACTGAAGGATGAACTCATCTCCACCACCAACATCCCTCCCATGTATGCTAAACGATTCCACAAATTTTAATATTTCCCAGATTGTCAGTGTAATTGTGAATTATTTGAATGAAGACAACACCAGTATTTTCAAGTTGGCATCAACACTTTTGAAAAACTTTATTGTGTGTGTTTAGGTATCTCCAGGCTGACCCAGAGCACTTTGACCTTCAAGATTTGAAGTGCAAATTTGACGTGATTCTGCTTGAGCCTCCTTTAGAGGAATACTACAGAGAATCAGGCATCAGCCACACGGAACGTTTCTGGACATGGGATGATGTATGTACTCGTCTTTGGCTGGTTTGCTTTTACCAGAATATACCTGTAGACTGCCTTGCGGGCTATAACAAAGAAGGGGGATGCACATCAGACTTATCAATAAATAAAATTGATTAGTGTAAGAAATTAAGTGAGGTGTAAAACTCACAGACCTCTCAGCATATTGCAATTCAACTGAAAACTAGACTTCTGCACGTCCTTGTGACTTGTTTTTTTAGGTGTTAGAAAATCTAGCCCATGATGGGAGATCTTCAGTAATAACAGGATTTTTCACTGATCAAACAAGATAATATAAATGCCAATAAAGTCCCCAGTGAGAACAGGATGTGATGGTGCAAAGGATTCGATGGTGGACTTTTGTTCAAGATACGGAGGCTTGAATCCCAGGTGATGATGTGGTCATGTGATGGGAAGGAAAAAGTGCAGGAGGAGGGCTGTGTATTTTCAAATTTGCAATGTATTCTTTCTCTTCTCTTTTCTTTTTTTTCCCTTGTTCCTCCTACCTGCTTCTTTTCTTCTTCCTTTATATCTCTTTTCTTCTCTCTCTACTTTTCTCTCTTTTTTTTTTTTTTTAGAAAGAAAGAACAAGAGGATAGAGACAGACACCTATTGGTCACATTTGCATCTCAGACTAGATCAGATCTCTCCTGGCAAAGAAAGCAGCCACTTCCTCTTCTCTTATTGCCTTTTACTCCTTTCCTCGGGTCCGCTTCATCTTCCCCTCTCGTCTTTTCAGTTTTCTCAGGTCTGCGTGATGAAGATGTATAAAAATGTATAAATGCCACATGTTGGCGTCATAAACACTCACTCCTCTTTTCATTCTCTGCTCTTTGTTACTAAAGATCATGAGACTGGAGATTGAGGAGATATCAGCTCTACGTTCCTTTGTCTTTCTCTGGTGTGGCTCTGGTGAAGGACTGGACTTGGGAAGAATGGTAACACATCATTCAGTCAAAATAAACCTACATGGAAACTCTGTTTCCAAAATTGATCAGATTATCTTTACTTGTTCTTTGTTGGCAATCTAAGGGTGTGAAAATATTTTTCATGTCTTGCTAGACTCTAATTCTTTGAGTCACCTGGAAAACGTCTCGGTTCAGTGTGCATCTGATATCTGAGTTAGGCAACAGTGATGTTGGGAAAGTAGGCTTAAGTGTTCTCAGCTACCTCTCAAGTATGTGTCTTCATACCTGGGCTATTCAAGGCTTAACAACCCCTAAGCTGAGACTCCCTGGTTCATGTCAAGCAAGAAGTTAAAGAGTATTGTTGTTTTCATTACATAGTTTTCTGCTGTTGATGCGACGTATGTCCTTTTGAGCTCGTCAGTAACACTGAGTCACAGTGTGGGCCTTTGTGTTGGTGTCAGAGAATATTTCGTCGTATTGTGCCAGAGCATGTTGTTTCTACTACGTGCTCTTTCTCCAGCAACTTTGCGTTTCACGTTAAGAATGCAGACAAGCTTTTCTTTGTCTGTCCATTCATTTGCAACAAGAGAAAGGCTCATTCAGCTCAATATTCCTATTTTTATTCACAAGCAAATGCAATTTTTGCATTTTAGCTTGTTTAAGCTAGAGACGGAATGAGAATATGTTTGACAGCTGACAGAGTAGTTGGAGGATTTTTGATGTAATCTAAGAAATGTCTTTTTTGCAAGTGCCTTTATAAACGGCAACAAAAATCTAGGTGTGGACAAACTTTAAGAATAACAGATTGAAAGTCAACAATGTGCATTTGTCTGCACTGGCTTCTCAACTGTTCTATCAAAAGCATTTCAACTGTTATACAGAACCAGTAACCAGTCAAACTGGTATAAAGCCACAGCATGATGTTTACTCAAAAACTTGACTGAAAGAAAATTACAGACAATGTTGGTTGTAGAACCTCAGAGTAGGCCATGGGTACTTTCAGATGTTCTCAAAAACTTTAGATTTTGTAGTTGAATTCACATTATCTAAGATTTGCTATTTGTTGTGAAATACAGTACATGGGTAGTCCTTACTGTGGAGAGGTTGTGTTCATGTTTCATTAATGCAGTCATCTCAGATTATTCAAATAACCCTGCCAGCATTAACAGCACTAAATCCAGTGCTTGTTTAGCCCATGTCGTGCATCAGTCTATTATAGTACTTACCCCTATTATGCTACTTTCAGTGTTTGAGAAAGTGGGGCTTTAGGAGGTGCGAAGATATCTGTTGGATCAAGACAAACAAGAATAACCCAGGAAAGACCAAGGCACTCGACCCAAAAGCAGTATTCCAGAGGACCAAGGTACAGTATGAACACTGCAGACAGACAGACACAGCAAAAATGCCACATTTATGTTCATATATCATACGCTTTTCTGGTCTTTTTTTTTCTTCTTGAAAATCTGTAGATGTTAGATGCACAGTTGAAAGTTTACAAGACTCATCCACAAAGCATAAACTTTAAATGTAACTCGTATTAATCGTACAGAATGATGCATAGTGACATAAAACACATTCCTTCCAGGAACACTGCTTGATGGGAATCAAAGGAACAGTGCGTAGGAGTACTGATGGTGACTTCATTCACGCTAATGTGGACATCGACTTGATCATCACTGAAGAGCCTGAGATGGGGAATGTAGAGAAACCCGTAGAGATCTTCCACATTATTGAGCACTTCTGTTTGGGCCGCAGGAGGCTGCACCTGTTTGGCCGAGACTCAACCATCAGACCAGGTGAGATGGACGTGCTCTTTGCTTGACAAAACAGATTTACCAGGCGAATTCAGGTGATAACAGCATGTTTACTTTCTTTATCGTCTTTTATTTTGTAGGCTGGTTGACAGTGGGCCCTACTTTAACAAATACCAACTTTAACCCAGAGACCTACGCCTCGCATTTTGCTTTGCCCAACTCCCATCTGTCTGGCTGCACTGAGGAAATCGAGAGGCTGCGGCCCAAATCTCCCCCCGCTAAACTGAAGTCAGACCGTGGTGGCGGAGCACCCAGAGGGGGACGTGGTGGGCCGAACGCCGGAAGAGGTGGAGACAGAGGCAGAGAAAGAAACCGACCAAATTTCCGTGGGGACAGAGGAGGGTTCAGGGGCAGGGGAGGACCACACAGGGGCTTTCCACCTCGCTAGAGAAACAGAACTCCCACCAGACTGATGTTAGGAATTCCTATGTGTATTACCTGCAAACACAAGCTTATTTGTAACACAGGTGGTAACATTAGTACGTGGCAGCGGAGAGGTCAGAAAGTGTGGTAAATGTTTTGTTTTTTGTTTTTTTCAATATCATTCTGGTTTGTTTATATTTTTTCACGGCTATACGTTAGATTGAATGGGTATTGCCTAAATAAACTTCCTTTTCACAATTTGTGTGTTGTGTTAATGTTGAGAAACACAAGAGCAACAAATCTATTCAAAATGAATGAAAAATATAAATTCAACATGCAGCCCCATCTGCTGTCATTTAAAAAAAAAGAAAAGAAAAAAAGAATGCACCTGCTTGCCATTTACTGTAAATGGAATGCTGGTATGCAGCCTATGGGCTCCACCCAGGTTCACTTCCAGTAAACGTACTTAATGTCAGTAAAGTATCTGCATTAGCTCTGTTAACGCTGATTGGCTCTTCTCTTCTGTTCATGCTCTTTCTGCATGCTGCCCAGCATGTCTGAGGAATGATTATCAAGAAAAGGAGTGGTACCATTTGAGGAATGCGATACGTCTTCTTAAGATGCTGCTTCAGTGTTCGCTCTCCTTTGGAGTGATGTGTTGCTTAACAGCTAACACCCCCTCCCCAAAGGCAGAGACTGTATAGTTGTCATAAGTTATCTTTTTGCTATATGTACCTGTTGGTCTAGTTCAAATATTTTAAGCATGTCATGAGGAATGACACCCTGAATGAGTCTTTTGGATAGGTTGATGTTAAATGTGGTGCACACAGTAACACCTGAAGAACGATTCAATAAGTTAGTATCAGTAAATGATGCTGCATTTCGTATTTACGTCAACATACCACTGAGGCTAATTAAAGCCTCAAAGAGCTTGTGCTGCCTATCTCCTGACTGATAACTCGCTGTTCGTGACGGCCGGTGAGATAAGCAACGTGCCATGGGCGTTAGTCTTGTTTAGCCTTTTGTTAAACATTTTTTCTTCACACCTTTGCTTTTTTCCCCCCCTTATTGACAGTAACTTTGGTGAACTGAAGACATTTTCCAGAACTGCTAACTCCACTTTCATACCACAGTAACTGTCGAGCCGTTGTGGTGCGCAAAATGGACTTTGGCTCCCAACTTGTCACTGGTTTAATATATTATTCCTCCAAGCTATGTAGGAATTGTATCGCTGGTGAGCTTTCAGATCAGGTCATATCTCACAATACTGGGAAAGAAAATTCTGTAGAAACACACTTTACACTTATTCTTGTCATTCAGTTCGAACAATGTTGCTCCCAGTTTTATGTTATTTCAATACTGTGAACCAAATCTGCTGTAACAATATGAACGGCCAACTGTAACATTAGACTATAATTTGTTGTCCTTCACTGAACAGACAGAAAGGATCCCACTGCAACACTCGGATACAATGGATAAATGGAGTATAGCATTAATTTACACACACAGACAAACAGGAATTTGTCAACCAAGTTCAATGCGGTAGAGCTAGTGTTTATTAGCCAATCAGTACGACCAATTGCAAACATCCACAGGTGTAGAAGCTTCATATTCTTTACAAGAATCAGACAACATCCCGGGACATGTGCTCAGAGTCTGTGCTGACGAGCTGGCAGATGTGCTGACTGACATTTTCAACATCTCCCTCGGTCAGGCCATTGTCCCCAGATGCTTCAAAACATTCACCATAGTTCCAGTGGCAAGGAAATCAGTTGTAGCCTGTCTGAATGACTGTCACCCCATCACACTGACACCAATTGTGATGAAGCGTTTTGAACGGCTCGTCAAACCACACATCACAGCCAGCCTTCCTGCATCACTTGACCCCCTTCAGTTCACTTACCATCCCAACCGCTCCACAGAGGATGCAATATCCACCACCTCGCACTTAGTCATCACCCACCTGGAAAATAAAGACACCTACATCCTGTACATTGATATCAGCTCAGCATTTAATACTATCATCCCCCAGAGGCTAACAGAGAAACTCCTCCTACTCAGCCTGGATACTGCCACATGTCTCTGGGTCCTGGACTTTCTGACCGAAAGACCCCAGTCTGTCCGACTCGGAAAGAACATTTCCAACTCCATCATGCTGAGCACTGGATCTCCTCAAGGCTGTGTACTCAGTCCACTGTTGTTTACACTGCTAACACACAACTGTGCAGCCACACATGAGGGGATCCAGATCATCATGTTTGCTGATGATACCACAGCAGTGGGACTTATTTGCGAGAACAAAGAATCAATGTACAGAGATGAAGTGAAATACCTAGAGGGCTGGTGCAGGAAGAACAACCTGCTGTTCAACATGGACAAAACGAAGGAGATGATCATCGACTTCCAGAGGTCATGTCCTGAGCGTGCTCCCCTCAGCATAAGCGGCTACACAGTGGAGTGAGTGGAGAGCATCAAGTTCCTTGGAGTGCAGATCTCACAGGACCTGAGCTGGAATAAGACCACCGCAGTGATCATCAAACGGTCCCAGCAGAGACTACATTTCCTGAGAAAGCTGAAACAAGCTTCTCTCCCTGCCAGTGGCACTGAACATTGTCAGGGACTCCTCACACCCTCTCCATGAACTGTTTGAACTGCTACCATCAGGCAAACGTTTCTGGAGCACTAAAGAAAGAACCTCCAGAATGATCATTGTCATGCCACAAGCTGTCAGAATGCTGAACTGCTGATCCAGATATGCAAACACTTCTGTGGGTAGAAGCTGTGCTTGAGACGGTTTGTTTTGGTCTTTATTGTCCGATATCTTTTACCAGAGGGTAGGGGGGAGAACAGGGGGTTTTCAGGGTGAGTGTGGCCTTCTTCTGAAGTCGGCCGCTGTAACTGTCTTCCAGGAGAAGTAGTGTGGTCCCGATAACTCTCTCAGCCGCCCTCACCACCCGCTGCAGGATCCTCCTGTCCTCTGCAGTGCAGCTGGTGAACCACGCTGTGCAGCAGTAAGTCAGGAGGCTCTTAATGGTGCTTCTGTAAAAGTTCACCAACAGGGGTCGAGGGAGGTGAGCCTGCTTTAGCTACCTGAGGAAGTAAAGTCTCTGTTGTGCCTTCCCCACCTGGTAGGAGATGTTGTTGGCCCAGGTGAGGTTGGCTGAATGTTCACTCCAAGGAACCTGAGGCTCTCCACCCTCTCTACCTCCTCTCCGTTGACGCAGAGGACTGAGTGCTCCGTGCGTGTGGATCGTCTGAAATCCACAACCAGTTCCTTGGTCTTGCTGGTGTTCAAGTCCAGGTTGTTGCTGAGACACCATTCTGCCAAGTGCTGGACCTCCTCCCTGTAGGCTCACTCATTGTTGTTTGTTATCAGTCCTACAATTGTGGTGTCGTCAGTAAACGTGACGATGGTGTTGGTGGTGTGAATGGGGGTGCAGTCGTGGGTAAAGAGGGAGTAGAGGAGGGGGCTGAGGACACATCCCTGTGGTGTTCCTGTCTTTGTGGACGAGAGTGGAGGATGTGCGGCCTCCCATCCTGACGTTCTGGGGTCTGTTGCTCAGGAAGTCCAGTATCCACGCACACAGTGAGCTGCCCAGGCCCAGGTCACTCAGTTTCTTGACCAGTTTGTGGGGAATGACTGTGTTAAAGCCAGAGCTGAAGTTCACAAACAGCATCCTTACATACGTGTTTTTTTTGGTTCAGGTGAGTAAGGGCTGCGTGGAGAGCTGTGATCACAGCGTCCTCTGTTGACCTGTTTGCTCGATAAGCAAACTGATGTTGGTCCAGGTCAGCAGGGACGGCAGAACTGATGTGAGAGATGAGTCTATCAAAGCATTTTGTGATGATGGGGGTTAGAGCGTAAATTGCTTAGATGTAGGTTCCTTATTTAACTTTCAGTTATGTTGTCATTTTGCACCATGAGATTCTGCGATTAAATAGCAGATGTTGTCTCTTTATGGTAGTCACAAAAAAATGCATCGAATAAACAATCTATAGCAATAAAAATGAAACTAGTTTCATAGTGATATGGAGGACAAATTCAGTAATCTTACATTTCATGCGATATCTTATAGCTTGTAGTGTTAGACTTATTGTTTCAGCTGCTTGGCTGTATTAAACAGTTTTGGGAGCAAGTAAAGAACACATATGAGAACGTAATTCATAAACAGACTTACTGCAAATGTTATAAAGTCAAGAAGCGCAAAACCTTTGTGCTTTATCAGTCTCCGTTTTAGGATTTGGGCTTTGAAATTGCAGCTCTTAAAACCATTTTGCTCCTCAGAGTTTGTTACACAGTACTATTGGAGCACCACAGAATATTTCAGCAACTGTGATGCCATTTTCCCAGAAAACTAGTTTGTCTTTAGGAGGTGTTTTAATATGCACTGATCTGTTGTCTTGAACATGAAGTCATAAATCAAATCAAATCCTGTTTCCTTGTACATTCTTCTGTTCCCCAGCAGACATTTTAAGGTGTCATAGTAAGAAAAACACAAGTGTATTAATGATGAACAATGTAGGCAGGTAATGCCAATGATGTGACTGACTGGGAAAATAAAACTCAGTCATCATTGTCAGAAATTCCACCTGTACTTTTCCATCCTGGTGATTTATTATTCGACCATGTTTATGCCATTCATTTAAAAGGTTTTTTTTGTTGTTGTTTTTTTTTTTTCTAAGGCATTAGTTTGCAAGCATGATGCAAAAGATTCTTTACAAAAATAGACGGATTGATTCTGAGCAGATAACAAAAGTGAAAATGAAGTACATTCAAATCTAATCTAATCCAGTGTTCAGTTCTGGCGAGGGGACCATGGTTACTTGCAATGCCACTTGCTTTCATCATGCCTCTTCTCTTTTCAGTAGAATCAAAAAGGCAGAGAACAATGTAAAGCCGTGTTCGATTAGTAAGGTGGCACAGTGCAATTGATCCCTGAGCACACAGACTATAAATAAACTCTGTGGTGTATTCAGAGGCAGTGAGATGCAGCTGCAACCCAGATATAATACAAACACTACATTCAGTAAGGTACTTCGTAAAGCCCTACGATTGTGGTAGTAAACCAAGTATGTGTGAACTGCAGTGATGTACACAGGCACAGTGTCTAACCGCTTGTTTTTTTAGCAGTCAAAGGGAAACTTAGAAATCAAAGTGTACAACGTGAACTGAAAGAATGCACACCAGAAGGCAGACGCTCAATCAGACTCTGATCAAATAATTCAGAACAATGAACCAATGTTTTCAAGCATGTCCT